TCCAAGGAGCAGCCTGGTTTAACCCTCTCTACGATGAATCTGTTTGTTTTATTGGCAGTCCATGGTACTCTCAATCCTCTTCTCCAGCACCACAGCTCAAAGGTGTCAATTCTCCTTCTAGCCTCCCTAGTCATTGCCCAACTCTCTGATGCATAACAAGTGATTGCAAAAACCATGGCCTGTACCAGGTGCACCTGGTGGCAGTGATTAAAACAAACACACACCACAAAATGTGTGTGTGTGAGAGAGAGAGAGAGAGAGAGAGAGAGAGAGAGAGAGAGAGAGAGAGATATCTCCTGTGACATTTCCTATCGGGTGTTTGCTTTTTAATAAAGTATGTAGTGAAGAGATAACATTTTTCCTAAGGCAGAATCTTGTGAACACCATTTCATTTCCCTAATGATCTTTTTGGCATTTAATCATCTTTTATCATTTACTCTTGTGTATCCCAACTAGAATGTAAACTCTATGATGAAAAAAGTTTAAGTCTATTTGATTTGTAGATACAGAAATACAAATCTGTTATTTATAACAGTGCTTAGCACAAAATAAGCCTCTGGATAAACATTTGTTAAATATATGAGTGAATCTTTGGGCCCCCAAGATTTAAATGTGATGGGTCCAATTCTGAATACAATCTGTTCCGTTCAATGAATCCACTGCTGATTTATCACAGCTGTATAATCTGGTTTATCAACCAGCATGAATTTCTAAAGATGGAGCTCTGGTGCCCTAGTGAGTAGGGAGTTGTCCTGCTTATCCAAAGGTGGTGCCTTTCTGGCAGTTCAAATCCACCAGCAGCTCCATGACAGAAGATGGGCAATCTCCTCTCATGTGATGTTGCTATTGTTATATGCCATCAAGTTGACTAGGACTCATGGTGACTCTATCAACAATGGCCCTGAGCCTTGTCCTGGATCCTGAGCCAAGCTCACCATCTCTGACACACTTGCCCCTTTTGCCATAGTCACTGTAGCAATCATCTTGTCTAGGACCTTCTTCGTTGAAAACCTGCTGGAAGGTCATCTATGAGTCACCTTCAACTTGAGGCAATGAGTTTGAGCTTGAGAGCCTCTTCAGCCATGGATGTAGAGTGGTTAAAAGACTTACCAACCAAAAAAAGGGTAGCTGCTAAGAAGTGGTGGCCCGCCCTAGTGAACACTTTCAGCCTTGGAAACCTTACAGGAGTCACTGAGTCACAAATGACTGGACAGCAATGTTCTGGGTTTCAGTTTCGAGTTACTCTCAAGTTTTCAATATATTAATATGGACCAAATATAATCTCTTCTAAAAGTATACTAATATATACCTATTATAGAGATACTTATGTAATGCATCAGTGTGTTTTTAATTTTACCAAAGTAACATTTGAAGAAACTACTTTTTTACAATTAAACAATCTCATGTTACAGACTTAAGTTCACATTTATTCTCATATATCACATTTAAAGGTTTGATTTACTTAGATGAGAGAGAAAGAAAAGCAGAAAGTTCTAGATGTGCTGTACAGATTTACCCTGCCATATAGGGTGAAAGCGTGCTGCATGCATTGCTTATAGAAAGAGATGGAGAACATGTAAAAACAACTTTAAAATCCCACTGCTGTTCTGACTCATAGCAATCCAAGGGCTGAGAAGAACTGTGTCTCCTGGTTTGGAAGGTTGTAAATCTTGATGCAAACACAGTGCCACATCATCCTCAGGAGTGACTGGATGGGTTTAATTTACCAATCTCCAGGTTAGCAGCCAAGTGCTTAACCATGGCATGGCCAAAAACACCCAATAAATTTAGACTTAAAAATCCCACCTTATTTTAAAATTTAACGTTATTGTTTTGACCACAAGGTAATCAAATTATCTCACGTTTTTATCATTCCTTTTTCATTCACAAGTTGTCCAAGTTTTCCTATTTGCATGCTTGTTGTTTTTAGATGCCGTAGAGTCAAGTACAACTCATAGTGACCCTAAGAACAACACATGTGAACCCACCCCATCCTGTGCCATCCTCACAAGCTCTGACACACTTGAGCTCATTACTACAGTCACTGTGTCAGTACCACCTGGTTAAGGGTTGTCCTCTCCTTCAATGCTCATCCACTTTCTCAAGCAGGGTGACCCTCGCTAAGGAATAACCTCTCTGAGCAACATGTCCAAAGTATGCGAGACAAAGATTTATCATCTCTGCCTCCAACAAATACTCTGGCTGCACCTTAGGAACCCTTCTGTTTCACAGAATGACTTAACTATCCTTAGTTTTTACAATGATTCATCAGTTCTTTTCCCTAAGGTGTCCAAGTTCTGCAACTGTTTTAGTTAATTATTTTTTCTTTTTTTGGTAGAACTGAAACTGGACTCTCCACATCACTTCCTCATGAATCATACAGGTCTACGACCATTTTTG